GTGGGAGGTGGAGTGGGTCGGTGTGGGAAGGAGATCTGCTGTGGCAGTCCTGGGACATCATCTTCACTAGGAGCCGAGAGCATGCTGCTTGCCTCTGGGTGGTGTCTTGAGAAGCTCTAAGAGGTTGTCACCCTGTGGTGTTGCTCACTGGGAGCTAGTGGAGGAGCTTACAGCTCATCTTTGGGGACCAGTGTGTGACCTCAGAGGAGCCTGGGCCGGCAGAGTGAGGGGAGGGGCCGCATTGGGGGGGTCTTGGGCTCCCCGACGGCTCTGGAGGGCAGGGTGTGAGAACAGGGTGGGCTTACTGCCTCGACTGGGTCCAGTGGTACCTGGGCAGCCTGTTGGCCTGTGCGCACCCCTCCCTAATGGAAGCCCCACTCCGACCTCTCTTGCCGTCCAGATGATGCCTTCATCAACCCTCACCTGGCCAAGATCTTTGAGCGGGTTCGGCAAAGCGCTGACTTCATGCCACTGAAGCAGATGATGGTGAGGTTTGCTCGAGGTGGGGCAGGGAAAGAGTGGGGGGTCTAAGGACCAAGCTGGGTGCGTATCAGGGTGTCCCAGATAACCAGGCCCTGCTCCTGTCTTCTTCCCAGAAAACCCTCAACAATGACCTGGGCCCCCAGTGGAGGGACAAGCTGGAGTACTTTGAGGAGCGGCCCTTTGCAGCTGCCTCCATAGGGCAGGTGCACCTGGCCCGCCTGAAGGGTGGCCGTGAGGTGGCCATGAAGATCCAGGTAGATGTCCCTGTGTGGTGTGCGCCTGTCCACACAGGATTTCGGAGGGTGGGGCCTTTCCCATGTCTCCCGGGACCCCCTGTCTTTCTGTCCTCAGCATCTGGCGCTGGGTGAGCGTTGGCTAGGTGACAAGTTGAGGGGATGAAGCTGTGTCTTAGCCATCTTGGTGCAGGATGGCCGTTACGGCCTATGCTGGGACCAGCTGCTTTTTCTGGGGGTCGAGTAAGGAAAAAGGGAGAGCAGGGTGGCGGTAGGTCAGGTCATGGCAACCTTGTTTGCGTCTTGGCTCTTTCATTCAAGGATCTGGCCCCAGGTGGCTGGGAAGCTAATGGGTAGGGACAGCCTGCCCCACTGCCTCCCCAGGTAACCCCCCCCTTCTCTCCTTGCAGTACCCTGGTGTGGCCCAGAGCATCAACAGTGACGTCAACAACCTCATGGCTGTGCTGAACATGAGTAACATGCTTCCAGAAGGTCAGGCTGGGCTGCAGACACGAGGCGGGTGGGTGGCGTTCTGGGAATGTCCCCGTCCCACCTGATGCCCCTCTCTGGCACAGGCCTGTTCCCTGAGCACCTGATTGATGTGCTGAGGCGGGAACTTGCCCTGGAGTGTGACTACCAGCGGGAAGCTGCCTATGCCAAGAAGTTCAGGTGTGGCTCTTAGGGGGCCCCGGGAGGCTGAGGGGTACTCGGGGGGCAGGCTCCTCTGTTTCTAAGGGTGGATGGCCCTGGGGCCAGGGTGTGGCCACATCCTCCCCCCTGCAGAGTAGGTTTCCTCCCGGTGGGCTCTCCACTTGGGCGCCGTGGAGGGTCCAGACTGGATGCGAACTCTGTCTCCACACAGGGAGCTGCTGAAGGACCACCCCTTCTTCTTCGTGCCTGAGATCGTGGATGAGCTGTGCAGCCCCCATGTGCTGACCACCGAGCTAATATCAGGCTTCCCTTTGGACCAGGCGGAAGGGCTGAGCCAGGAAGTCCGGAATGAGGTGCGCTCAGGCTGTGCGGGGCACCTGATGATGTCAACAGAGACCCTAAGCCCTTCCTGGGGAGGCTGGACAAGGGGGTGATGACTGCATCCTCCTGTTGGGGTGGGATTCAGGAGGCAAAGACTTGGGAGGCCACAAAGCAGTCAGTGCCACCTGACCCAGGTTCCTACCCTGTCCCCAGATCTGCCACAACATTTTGGTGCTGTGTCTGAGGGAGCTCTTTGAGTTCCATGTCATGCAGACTGACCCCAACTGGTCCAACTTCTTTTACGACCCTCAGCAGCACAAGGTAAGCCCCAGCTGAGCCTCACGTGAGGGTCTCCGCAGAGCCCTGGGAGCTCAGACCGGAAGTGGCCCTCCTCTCTCTGCTCACCAGAGCCATAAGTGTCGTATCTCCATCTGTAGGTGGCTCTCCTGGACTTCGGGGCAACTCGGGAATATGACAGATCCTTCACTGACCTCTACATTCAGGTAAGACCGGGAATGGAGCCTTGGCCCGCGTATTTCAGAGGCCAAGAGCCAATGCTGGGGATTCAAAGTGTGGGAGAGCCTCCTGGAGTTGGCCACAGCCTGTCGGGTCCCCCAAACTGGCTGTGGATGCCAGGCCAAGGGTTGGCAGGCACACAAGAGGATTGTAGTAGGGCAGGAGCCTCTCTCTTCTGCCCAGGTCATCCGGGCTGCTGCTGACCAGGACAGGGAGGCCGTGCTGAAGAAATCCATAGAGATGAAATTCCTCACTGGCTATGAGGTCAAGGTGAGTGAGCCACCCAGGCTAACATTGGGAGGGAGGTCCAGGCCCAGCTCCCTGTAGACACAGCTGTCTTTCCTTAGTACCTGAGCACCAGCTGCTCTTGGAGGCCTCCTTATGCCCAGCATTCTGAAAACCTGGCATTCTGTAGGAAATGTGCAGAGTGGAGACAACCGTGTTGCTTAGGGTCAGCACTTTGTGCTGCCTGCTCTGCTCACCCTGGCCGCCAAGAGGCAGGGGATGGCTTGCTCGGGTGGCCCGAGTGCCCAGGCCTTTAGAGCCTCTTCACCCAGCAGCTACTGGGAGCTGACCTTCCCTGACCTGAGTGCACCGTCAGGATGGCTGTGCATTCCAAGCTTCAGGATCAGTCCCCACCTGGGCGCCCCTTGTCCCTTCAGTGCTCTGCTGATAGGTACTTGTCACGCGTCCCGTGCCTGGCAGGGCACTGTCCTCAGAGTGGCGGGCCCTGCCTCGTCTGGATCTGTAGTTTGACTTTGGGAAGACAGAAATAGTGTAGGAGCGAAGGCCTCTGCACTCCACCCTGGCTCACATGGAAGCTGTCAGTGGTCTGTGCCTGCCTGGTCTGGAGGGTTGGGGTTGTACCTGGTACCGTTTATGGGACCCAAACCATCCTGTCACCTCTCTGGTGTCCTCCAGACCTGGGGCTGGGGGGTTCTAACCAGGTCACCTCCACCCTTCTTCTTGGTGTAGGCCATGGAGGATGCCCACCTGGATGCCATCCTCATCCTGGGGGAAGCCTTTGCCTCAGAAGAGCCTTTTGACTTCGGCACCCAGAGCACCACCGAGAAGATCCATAACCTGATCCCCGTCATGCTGAAGCACCGCCTCATCCCTCCACCCGAGGAGACCTACTCCCTGCACCGCAAGATGGGCGGGTCCTTCCTCATCTGCTCCAAGCTCAAGGCCCGCTTCCCCTGCAAGGCCATGTTCGAGGAAGCCTACAGCAACTACTGCAGGGCGAAGTCCGGGATGCAGTAGGGTGGGCGTGGGCCAGGCTCGGCCAGGCAGAGGGAGGTGCTGAGCAGGAGCCACGGCCTCCATGAGGAGGGAGTGAGCAGCGTGGAGACCCGCCATTGCTTCTGCACTGTCCAGCCAAAGAGGCAGGCTGTGTGTCCACCAGAACATGGAGCAAAGCAAGACTGACGGCTAGCTGGCCTTGTAGAGTGCAGCTTTGTGTGTTTCTGGGTGAGCTTGTGTCCCTGCCCTTGGCCACCCCAGCCTGTGGCCTGGAACTAGCAGCTCAGGACAGTAGGGCAGCCACCCTAGCTGGGTCTCAGCATGGACAACAGATCCTTTGCAAGGGCAAAGCAGGGCTGCCACTGAAGGAGCAGCGGGCTCCAGCATGTTCCAGGAGAGGTAGTTACTACCCCGCACCAGGGGATCATCACAGGCTCTGTTTGTTTATATGTCTTGTAATCACACGTTCACACCCTTACGTCCAATAAAGTGTGTTGGGGACTACCGTTTCCTATGTGTTCTGTGGACCCTGGGAATGAGGTGGCTCCACTTATGACCTGGATGGCGGGCTTCACCTGTACAGTCTCTGCTCCAGAACATCTGTTGCTGTTGGTGGGGACAGAACGTGGCAACACAGGCAGACATGGATTTTTTTGCATTCCTGTCTCTGACCTCAGGGCTTCACTGGCACCGGGGATTGGGCCTAATGCCTTACAGATGTGAAGCAAGTGGTCTACCACCGAGTTGTACCCTCAGCCTGTTCACTTTTGAGACAAGCTCTCAATAAGCTGCTCAGGCAGGCCTCGAACTTGTAACCCTCTTGCTTAGCCTCCCAAGTAATTAGGATCACAAGTTTGAGCCACTAGGCTTCTTCGGCAGTTTAGAGAAAACAAGCTTGCGGGTCCAGTGGCTGGAGAAGAGCAGGCACTAAGAGGTGGGACTTGGGACAGAACAGTGTGCCCTTCAAGTCCATGCTGCATCTGCCCTGACTAGGCCTGGCTGACTACCACCCTGCACCAAACGGCTCACTGTGCCTTTTAAGGAGGAGTTTGACTGGACCATGGTGCTCTTGTCCATGTCACAGACTATCTTTGTGGAAAGTTTGCCAAGTCCTGTCTCCAAGATGCTGCCTTTGAGGCCCAGGGTAACCTTGGGATCTGCAAGAGTCCCAGTGGCCAGAGGGGTCTGAGTGACTCCCCGCATGCCAGCTCCATCACTGTAACTCACCAAAACAGGGACCCAGTGCTTCCAGGCAGCTGGAAGCTTCACTCCAGACAACCTTGAATCTCAAGTGCCTTCCGAGTGGGGCCCGGCAGCCTAAAGCAATGACTGAGATGTTCTTATTAAAGGGAGGGAGCCGAACACTTCCAGGGATTTGAATGTTCTTCTCACCTGAGCTCCAAGGGCAACTTAAAAAGTCCCAGGTCAAACCCCAGGAGCGAACTGACCTGTGCCCTCTGGGTATATAAAGAAGAGGCCCGGAGGAGGGACCAGCGAGCCAGGAACTCCTCATACTCTTTACACAGGGAAAGAAAAAGACAAAATACTCAGTCCTAACAGTTCCTTATTTTATTGCAGTACATCAAAGTCTGGTTAATTAGGTGACACCAACATAAAATATTGGTGAGAAATTCTTTGTTACATTTTTTACTATCCCACCTTAAATAATTCTGTGCAAAAGAATCCATGTCATGGTCTGGTAGCAGACACGCTCTCAGGAAGTCCCCTAAGACATCAAGGGATGAAACCAAACCAAATGAATGATAAGAGGCCAAAGCAGTATCTTCCCTTCCACACACACTGGTCAGCATCATAGTCTAAACAAAAATTACACCTAGGCCATGCAAAACTGTACAATAATATTACAATGAGAAAAAAATCCTAAAAATTTATAAAATAAATGACACTATACTATCAAACAAAAAGGCAGGTCATTTTGTCTTCAGTGGCATCGAGGCTGACGTGTGGCAGTCAGTCTCCTGAAACTGTAGTACGGCCCTGTTGTAACGCTGTCCCTGCGACGGGGCCATGGGATGCTGGAGCTGCAGGAGACCCCCTCACTGCAGCAGGGCTCCACAGGGAACTCGGGACTTGCAAAGACTGAAGGGTTCAACAAGGAGTGAGCCACTCAGGGTGAAGTGAGATGCTGTGCAGCCAGGCCAGGTTGGAAAGGGGCAGGGCTGGCCAGGTGGGACTGGATAGGGCCAGCGGTCTTGGGCAAAGCATGGCCCGCAACAGGGGAGTCACGCTGTTGTAAGTGTGCCCGTTGTTGTGGGCAGGGCGTGTTGGCTAGGTCTACTGAGCTGGGAGAACCGAGTTTGTGGTCACTGCCAAGGCTGCATGTGAGCTGCTGCATGTGGGAGTAGATGTCTGCCCTCTGCTCTAGCTTTTCCTTAATGATCCCTGAGGTTCCACACAAGCCAGCCAGCTTTCTTAGAGATCGATGTGGCCACTACGTTCTAGAATGACAGGAGTCTAACATGGAAGAGAAGAGGCGGAGGGAAGGGCTGGTGGGAAAGACAGGGATTTCAGATGCTCCCTTTCAGCTTGGCTATGGGAATTCTCAGGAAAGCCACATGGGTCATTTGTAGTCATCCCCTCAGTCTTCAAGCTGTGCGCACTGGGAAAGAACGCAAATGGCTAAGCACAGGGAGTGTGGACACAAATAGAGATACTTTAAGTGAAATCTGCTTTAGCAATCATTGACAGGAAGGCTTTCGGTTTGGCAAAAACCAAAACCAAAACCAAAACTGTAATATATTTGTATACCTATCCCGAACCCACATAACAGGTTAGCCAGAATTCAAGGGCCAATAGCAAATGGGCTGGACATAGCACCAAGTACTAACCAGAGACACTGCCAGAAATGGCTCTGAATGCCATTTTTTCCCATTTAGAGATCAATCCCTGCTGCTCCACACTTTCAGGTACCTTGCATGGGGTAGGGAGTGATTTTCAGCAGGGCCACAGGCCTTTTCTCTGCCTCTGTTATCCACTGCTCTGAGGGACCTTTGTTTCTGTCCCCTGGAAGCCTGTCCACCATCTTTCCTCCTCCTCCACAGTTCCGGACAGGAACACTGCATATAAGGCTGGGGAAAGTCAGACGTGGTCATCAGGAGGACCCCACCCCACACTCTGGGCCAGGGCTGCTGTTACGATGCCTGGATCTGTGACTGCAGGGGGAAATCCAATCCACAGGGGACACAGGGTGGGGGGTGGGGGTGGGACTCACTGCAATGGAGCTGGACTTCAGAGGGTTAGACGTGACTCTAAAGGGTCCTTTTACAAACAAGCACCTTAGTAACAAAAATCTGCAATTGGTTGCCAAAGCTACAAACAAAGGCTCAGGGTGAGTCCTGTCAGTCTCGGCCTGGTCGATTTTCTGCCTAGGAAAGAGAGGGAAGGACTGAGGGGAGAGCGGCCAGTTCTATCAGGCCGAGTGCCAAGTTCAAGCAGACAACAACAACAAGGCTCTGACCAAACTCAAGATCTGACCCTTATTTCTGGATGTACACAAATATGTTTATGATACTTCTTTTCCAAAAGCAAAACGAGTCGGATTAAAATGACACAATGCCCATCCCAGATGAAATGCACTCATGTCTGAGCCAGTGGAGAATCTAGAACGTGTCAAAGCTGCTGCTGAAGAAGACCCTACCAGATGTGTTTCCGTCTGTTCCCCTCCCTGAACTCTAACCTCCTACGGAAGGCAGCCCACCTCGGGAGTCTGGCCCGCAGGGCCTGGCAGCATGCTGTGCCAAGTGCCAGCATGCCAGGCAGGTTACGACTTTGGAAATCTGTTTTAGGTGTGGTTAAGGTGGGGGAAATAGTGGCTCTTTCAACCCCCAAGAGGTGAAAACGAAGAGTGGCGGGGCCTCCTTATTTGCACGGGATATTGTAGTCTCCATCTTTTTTTCTGTGTTCTCAGCTGGTGAAACGTGGGTCGAGATGAGTTCTGGTCTCCATCTTGCTTTCTTGGACAAGTACAGCAGCAGGTATTCCGAATGGAGGCTGGCTGACAACCCATGGCAGCCAGCACCCCTGAGCCTATGCACAGGCTCCACGGTCCCCTCACATGGGAAGGCATATTTGGTCAAGGCTGTTCAAGCCCATGCTTCTGAGGTTTCACATGATTTAGTAGGAGAAAGAAGCCCTTCCCCCAGGAGTGCGTGTGAGGAAGTTCACAACTACCCTAACCAAACAGGCTCCTCACTGGGAAGCTGTGCCCAGTTCAGACAGACTCACTGCAACCTAGGAAGGAACAGGAATTGGCCAGGACAAAAAAAAAAAAAAAAAAAAAAACCAGCTACATGAACTATTAGATGATCTTCAGAAGCCATGACTCTCTCCCTGTGCCCTTTACGATGGGAAGGAAGGGTCAGAAGATGACAGAATTGTCTTTCACATTCAACTGTGCGAGATATCAAAATATAGTAAGAGGGGGACATGTTCAAATCCATCACTAGAGAAAGAAATGCCTTGGGAGGCAAGTGTGCCTCGGAGTGATTTCGACGCCACCTGTGGTGTCCGGGTCACACCCACCAATGGCACCAACCTCCAAACAAACATTCCTTAGATTTCCCCATGATCTCAGCTGCCCACACTTGGGGACAGATACCACGGGGCCCTGACTTCTGATCTCTTTACAAATGTCACTGGAGGCCTTTCTACCCTGTATATGACTCAGCTGGGAAACAGACAAGAAACAACACATTTCTTTAAATTAAATGATCTTTCTTATATACGCATCCATCTTTCATCGAACACAAGATGCTTCTTTGACTATATACATTCAGTATTTAACTTCTACATTTATGTATTTATTTAAACTCTGTATTGTAGTAAAATATGCATTGTTTTAAGTCGTGAGGATTTATTCCTGGCAACAGTCGGGCTGACGCTCATGGAGGCTGCTGGGCGCTACGTGAGGACTACGGTGAGAGGTGAGACCACAACCTGTCTACTCTTGGCGCTGCGTCTGCGCAGTCTGTCTACGGAAGCTACCTGGAGGGGGAGGGGAAAGCGGGCCTGGCTGCGGAGGAATCCTCAGCGCAGTAGCGCGGAAGGCGACGCTGCCGCCGCCAGGCACGTTGTCCGGTGCAGAGTCCCTGCCTGTGGCCACAGCGCGGTCCTGGGCTCACGGGTCCCAGCTCCCGCGGTCTGTGCTCTCCAGGGAGAGGCTCTTGGTCTTTCGGGGTGAAACGGGGCTTGGGGGCTGCTCAGGTTGGAGCTGTTGGAAGCTGTGGAATGCCTTGGAGAATCGGAGTCCTGCAAAACAAAGCACGAGTGAGCAGCTGAGGGCCAACCCTCCGGAGGACACTCGCTCCTCTAGACCCCCTCCAGTGCCCACACCCCCACCTTCTCTCCTGTCAGCACAGACCCTCTGTGAGATGATTGGAGGACACGGACGGGGGGACACACGGGGACGGGGACACACACACACACACACACACACACACACACACACACACACCACGGTCGCCTTTCATTCAAGAGATTAGAAGCTTAGAGCTTCTGGGAAGGCGCAGCTCGCACGCACGTGACAGTCCTTGCCCTTCAGAGGCAATGCAAGGTGGCGATGAGCCTGGACCAAGCCCCGGCCTTTTACCCATTTACCTCTCCATCATAGTCCCTGGCGGGGGCGTCACTTCCTTGGTCCATGCCTCCCGATGACAAGGAGCCCTCGGAGGGAGAGGGCATGGGCTGTCGCTTTGTGTTGTAGCTTCCTCCAGAGAACTCCCTCTTTAGTGCACTGCCATTCTGGGCTGACGACCCTACAGGACAGCGTTGGGAAGAGCTATGTATTGGGAAGAGGCCACTCCTGTACCAAGTGTGCAGGCTGCCGGGAGGACAAGACATCCACCCCTCCTGTACCAAGTGTGCAGGCTGCCGGGAGGACAAGACATCCACCCCTCATTAGGGGCAGGAAGGAAGCCCAGTGCTGAAGGTTGCTGCGGTCGCTCGCCCTCTGGCTGCTGTTTGGACTGTACTCCTCCCCAGGCCATGTGGAACCCCCAGCAGGCTCCTAGGAGAGGGGCAGCATTCCCAGCACCCAGTTGTCCCCAGGCAAACACTGCCTGTCAGAAGCTCTCAAAGGAAACCCGAGGAAGCGCTCCTGCTTCTCAGCCCAAGAGCAGCAGGCCATGGAGCTTCTTTGTGAGCACACCTTAGAGATGAACACACAGCAAGGCGGCCAGCATCCCTGACAGCAAGAGGAGACGAGAAGGGGCCTCTGGAGACCGAGGAGCACTGTTAGAGCCCACTCAAAGCTCTCCACGGCCCTCACCAGCTTTAGTTTCTGCTTAAGAAAACTATTTACCAAGTGTCAGTAATGGCCAAGGGCACTGTAAGTTACAGATGGACTGTTTCATCATTTTGCTGATTTTATGCCTTTTACATTAAGAATCTGACAAAAATGTCACCCAGTGACTGCATGTCTGGCTATGACCACCAACTGCGCTAAGGGCCTTGGCAGGAGAGTGAGACCACTTCTAGGCTGTAGTCTGCATACTGCCTAGAATGAACCTCTGAACCTCACTTCAGCTACTCTAAGATCTCCATCATCCTAGGCCCCATCATTACCCACAATCCTCACTAACAAATCCAAAGTCCCTGAAAGACAAGTGGGTTTTTGTTGAAGTTCCATGCAAATTCATGTGACGGCAGCAGCCCATGAGAATGGACTGGAGCCATGCTGGTGTTATGAAGGCCACCTTTATCATGAATGGAGGGCGGGAATGGTCTGCTCAGAACTGTTGTTACATAAATTAATATCAGTGTTTGTAATTCTGAGGTAAATCAACCTGAGCGAGGGTAATAGCCATCCACACATGGATGCTGGTTAGTCTACCGGAGTTCTCAACCTGGTGACCCGGAGCCATGGTTTAAACCCACCAGCAGTCCTGGCTTCCACCATGCAAAGGTTAACACAGTGACTGCCATTTTTCCGACTGGCTGGGTTTTGCATTACACATTGGCTCAGGATGATTTTAGGAGATGATAGCAAGGCACGTTCAATGTTCAACTTCTGCAAATGCACTAAGACTCCTGAAAATGCTCTTCTATCCGAGGCCACTTCCCAAGTGGGCACCTCTCTGTTGTCAGACAACATGTGGTCCCTCCCAGGAAGAGACAGCAGTCATGTGCTGAGTCCAGTGCTGAGCAGCATGTCCACTCTGGTCCCTGTGGTGATGACACATGGTGACATCACAGCTGTCTCCAGGCTCTAGACTGTTGCCCTGCACAGGAACGAGATCTCCTAGAGACACTGTCTAGCACACACTCCGCCTGCCTTTCATTCTGTTCCTGCCTCTGTCCCTCAGCTCCCTGGCTCCTCAGGGGAAGTCAGTGCAAACCCACTCGCCACCACACAGCAAGGCCCATCTCATGAGGAGGGAGCCTTCAACCAAGTTAGTGCAGAAGTACGGCCTGCAAGCCCAGGGCTGAGCTTGGGCTGCAGTCTCCAGCCACAGGAGAGTGGCTTTGAGTCGAGTGCAGCCTTATGAAAGGCTCCCAGAAGCCATGTGAGATAATAAATTAGTGTCTGTCTAGTCTTCCTGTCTCCCTCCCCCGCTTCTCTTCCCCACCCCGCTTCCCTTTCTCGTCAGGGTCTCAGTCCACGGCCCAGGCTGGACCCTCACTGTTCTCCTACTCCAGACCCTTGTGCTGCCCCAGCCAGCCGGTTCAGTCTCGTGTGTTTCTAAGTTGTGGGCGTTTGCTAGGCTGCAGTAACAAATATGGCACAACGGAACCTAAGGATGCCTGGAAACAGAACAGTCCAGAAACCAATGTTCACTGATTAAACAACAAAGGTATCAGGACAATCCAAGAGTACAGCGTAATGAACAAGTTTTCTGACTGAAAGACTTGGACTTAGGAAAGTGGATTTAGTGCAGTTAGCTCCTCTCAGCCATCAGTGGTATGGGAGTGAAGAAAAGCTTTGTTGGGGTCCCAGGTGTCAGCATACAGATGGGGTCTGCCAGATGCTCAAAGCTGATGCACAGTCCGTCCATAAGCCATTATGGAACCACCACAGCCCCAAATGAACTCGGCGAGATTGTGCATATTCTTGCACACTTAGGCATGCTGCTGTGAGCATCAGTGATTACTTCCATCCAGGGGGACAAGGGGCCCCATCAGCTCGACTAAGAAGTTGCTCCCGGGCAAGTAACTCAGCCGTCCCAAGCGACACATTTTCTCTGTGGTCTCACCTCCTCCCTACCATGACCACTTAGCAAAGCTTCTTCCCATCTGGCCACTTACGTGCAGACAGGCCACTGCTGGCACTCATGGAGCGGCCTGGTTCAGGGCGGGACTTGGTGATGGAGGGAATACTGACGGAGCCACTGAATACTGTCCGGCTTTCCTGAGGACGTGGGTTCTAAGACACAAGAGAGGCGGAGACTTCAGCCAGAGAAACACAGGTTTTTGTGCAGACATTCTGCCTTTCACTCTGATCCTCAAGACACGAAGTGAGACAGCGTGGGGAGCAACAAGGACCCAGTCTTTCTCACCAGCAGGACTTTGAAGCCCTGGCATGAAAGGAATCTCACCCCCGCCAAGGAGTACTTACCAAAAAACAGATTTTTGGTTGTGAGAATGTTATATAGTTAGCTAAGAGCGAAGTGCAGAATTACGTGGACATTTGCAGATAACGGGACATCTTTGACTACAGATGAGATGATTTACTTAAGAAACCTAAGGAAGCCAATTCTGTTAACTCACCAGACACTACTAACAATTTGCTGTTTCCTATCCACATTTTCTTTTAAATGTTTACGTTTTTGTGGTGTGTGCGCGCGTGCGTGTGTGCACACGTGCGTGCGTGTGCGCGTGTACAGGGGTCAGGTGACAACCTTCAGGTACCAGCCCTCGCCTTCCCACTAGTCTGCAGCTGTCTCTTTCCCACAGGTTGGCAGGGCTCTCGGCACACGAGCTTGTTTGATGGGTGCCGGGGATCTGGACACTGCTCACCAAGCCTGCACATCAGCCTTTTTCCCAAGCAGCCCTTTCCTCAGCACCCCTCTTTTTTTCCAAAGAAAGATTTCCAAGTTTCCCCCATCCTATCACACTTCTTCTCAGTGCCACAGAACACAAAATGAACTAGTGTATTTTAAAATGCTATACCAGTTTGCCCACCTCGCTGGTTCAAGACCAGTAAGTCTTTCAGCACATGGTGCCGGGAAACGTGGCCTTCTTCTAGCAGGTCCAGAGAATCAGCTAGAGAAAGGCACCCACAAAGGGCACCACTCTCCGGTGGCGTGACTGAGGCTTTCCGTTAGTCAGGGTCGAGAGGGTCGAGCTCACTTCAATGCTCCCTCAAGGTTCAGCAAGAAAAAAGGCCCGACTGCTTCAAGCCCCTGTCTTCCCTGCCCTCCTCTCTCCCGTTCCTCTCTTAGCTCAGGCTAGTCTACGTAAGCCAAGGATGGCTTAGAACCTCTGGTCCCTCCCAAACATTTATGGAACCGGGGAATGAACTCAGGGCTTTACGCATGCCAGGCAAGTGTTCTCTCTGAGACACAGTGAACCATCAGGCCATGTTCTACATATTTCATTTCATGTCTTCACGTCTGCCTCTGGAACACAGAGAGACAGAGAACACTGTGGGAAGGCACTCCTTCATCCCGAATTACCCTGCCTTGTCTGGGGTGCGGCTCCAGCTTGCTCATTTGCTCAGGAAGCATACAGTTCATGACTGTTTCCAGCGCTGTTTCCTTAGGTGATATGCTATTTCTTATACTGACTAAAATTATGACCAACACTTCGCTCCAGCACATAAAATAGGCACTGAAGATATTTACTGGACAGATGACTAGATTACATCTGCAACTCCCATTTCCTGCTTCAGGCATTAGATTAATTCAGCTGGTGATTAATAAATTTCAGATTACGATCCTCTCCATAGATGATACTACACTTTAGTTCATACTGGTTTGTGTATAAATTTTAAAGACACGGAATCCACTTTATATAATTTGGGAAGAATAATATTTTTTGGGAACCAATAAATGGTAGTAATTCTTAAAAAAATTGTGCACACACATAAGCATATGCATGCCACTGTGGGTGGTCAGAGGTCAGCTTTGGGAGCTGGTGCTCTCCTTCACTGTAGGTTCTGGGGGTCAAATCCATATTGTCAGGCTCAGTGGCAGGCGTTTTTACCCACTGAGCCATGACGCAGGCCTCCAATTCTTCTAATTCTCACTAAGCTGACCCATACGCTAACACAGCTGTCTCTGCTACAACATGCCAAAGATCAAACAATTTAAAACAAGACCTATGAAATGAGGCAAAAAAAAGAACAAAGCAACAGGAAATCTAGTAGTGAATGTGGTTAGATAGTTTTGGTCGTGAATAAGGTCTAGAACTGGACACCCACTGCCCAGTTACCCATGTGACTGACACCCCTGAGAGGTGACGCTCTGGGTGTGTCTGCAGCATGGGGCTTTCCCACACACCTGCAGCCCTGAGAGAAGACCACAGCAGACAATCCAAACATCAATGCCATCCGAAGATGTCCTCACGCTAAAGGCTGGCTGGCTCGCTGGTCCCCAATTCAACATTGCTATTTTGGTTCCTATACCAGATCTGCAAAGTCCATGTAATTCTGTGTGTTATTTGTTTAAAGAAAATAGTTTGCCTTATTTTATCCAGGAAAATTAAAAGAATTAAAGCCACGGCAGTCCAAGGCGGCGGCAGCCTAGCATTTGCACACATAGGACAACCTTATGAGACACAGCAACACGAGCAAGCATGGCCAAGAGGGGCTGCGGGGAGACAGGAACTGCCGGGGCCCAGCTGCACTTCGAAGCTAAGAGGGGTTGCTACTCTTTGCTCTAAAATAAACCTACCCTAGAACAAACGACTGAGGACAAGCTTCTAAAATATGTCAGCAACCGAGACTGAAAACTAAAATGCTAAATCATCTAGTCAATGATACAAACTTCACTGAACTATAACAAGAAGTCCAGCTCTTTGGACTCTCTGGTTAAAGCTATGCTAAGAAAGGCACCGCTCAGCTTGGCTGGGGCAGGCAGGTTCTCTCACAGGAAGGTCCTGACTGACTGGATGATTCCTTGGAGTCCCCTTCCTGCTGCAAGCAAACTAAGGCTGATTTTATTACAGTAATTCTGTCAAGTAAGACATTCAGAGAGTATTATAATTTAATGTCAGTGACATTTAAAACAATTTAAAATAATTTGCTAATACAAAAATAAGCTTTTAACCCTCTAATGTTCTTACTGGAAAACTACTATATTACAAATTTTAAAAATAGATATTACTATTTTACTAACTTGGGGGCATTACAGAAAATAAGTTTGCATGGTATAACCCAAATATTTTAATACCCATAAAACTAACTTCCCTTGAAATTCATATATGAATTCATTACTTGATAAAATAGATACTCTGCTTAACATCCGTTTCAATGCCTGGCCAATGGAACAACATTGTGGGGATGAATGACAGGACCAGGGGCACCATGCTTCTTTAGGGGCAGCAGCTTTTTTTTTTTTTTAAGTTTTATTATCTTGGGTGTTGGTTGCAATTAAATCCACACCAATAACTCAAAGATTTGTAAAAACTGACTTTAACTTTAGAACTTTTCCTGTTACTTTCTCAGTATTTATAACATTGCTTTGGAGACTTTTGGTAGGTCTATGGATAAGCTCTACACAGACCTTAATCTCATCCAGGGATGAGTTCAGGACTGAAGTGGTTATAAGTAAAGAGCTATTAAAAAATTCAGAAATTCAGGAGCCCTTTTATGTTTGTTTTAAAAGAATAAAGATCCAGTTGTAGCTGGTTTTGTTTGTTTTTGTTTTAACATGGTATCCAGAATGGAAAATAACATACTTGGAAAACTCTCCAACAAAGATCATACTCTATAAAGTTGCTTTGGATTAACAGAACAGAAACCCTGTATTCCTCCATATTTCCCTCAGAAGAAGAAACAAGACAGGCTGAGAAGAGGAGGAAGAGGAGGATAAACAGGAGAAGACAAAAGGTAGTTGAAGCTGCCAGCTCAGGAGGAAAGGGCAGCCACTCCTCAAGGCACGCCTTCAGTGGTTAGCAAAGGCACACGTGGTTAGTGAAGGCTAGCCCCGGACTCAGCTGTTCATACCCTCAGAGTCACAGAATGTGGTGTACCAGGGGCAGAGCGCAGGGACGGGAGGTGCTCAGGGTTTATGGAATCAGGAGAGAGAAACTGTTCAGCAGAACTGACAGTCATGTGATAGATGTGCTCAAAGTTGCTCGGAGAGGAGATCAGACCGGAGTGGTGATGAGGGGACGGATAAGGGAAACCTGGCTAGCAAAACAAAGAAAGGAGAAAAAGGCGTAAGGTGGCCAACTGGATCAGATCAGTGACACCAGACAACACGCACACAAAGGACAAGGCAGTGAAATTCTTTCGGGCCTCAGAGAGTTCAATTCTATAACCAGTTACTCCACACAGCGGATTCTCAGAAGATCACTTCAGGATAACATCCGTCCCCTTTTACCAGTTGAGTGAGGAGCAGCATGGCTTCCAGCATCCAAGGAGCTTTCAGTCGTCGGGGTTTTCTTACGTGATACAACAAAAGCCTTGCAAAGGTCCCCCAAATACCCAGCACAGAATCAGCTGGAGACAGTTAAAAGGACAAGGAGCCTCACACTGTTTCTACCTAGAAAGGTACAAACCTGCTTCCTCAGACTCTACAGCCAGTTCTCAGTTCTGGAGTTACAGACCTATGACATGCCCTGGCTTTTAGTGATCTTATTTTCCTATAATAAAGACAGTGACAATTGTGGACTACACTACTCCTGGTTGGCTTGTAAGCAGTCCAGCTCGTGTCCATCTAGACACCCCAAAGAACAAGTTTGTTTTCAACAAGGGGAAATTATGCCTTTGAATGTTCAAGTGTGTTTTTTAAAAGGCAAATAATCTAACCGTGAAGTTACAGAAAAAAATCTGAAGAGAAGGCTTCATATCTCCCGATAAATATTTACTTATGAATGAACACCTGGGCGATGCCACTCAGTGGCCAGCCATTTCCTATAGTGGAGATTTTTCAAGTTTAGATCTGGAAGAGCAGCTGTTCACAGAACACGCCATCCCTGCACTCCAGGAAAACTGAAGGATGTGCTGAGGAAAATGCCTTACTGTAAAGTATGGACCGTCCAAGTGAGCCAAGATGCCGAAAAAATGCTCAGGACTCATGGAAGCCTAAAAGAAAGGCTTCTCTATATGTGAAGTGCTCTTCTTTTAGAAATGTGAATAGAACCAGTATTTTCTAAGGCTGTTTCCAAAAAGAAAATATACTGACGTGTTTCTCCCTCTCTATCTCTATTCATCCATCTGTCCATTGTCAGTCCATCCATCCATCCATCCATCCATCTTTGACTTTAAGAAACAAAAGTATCTTTTGGAGGGAAGGTGCTATGGGTGTTGTAGACTGAGCCTGGGCCCTCCACGCATACACTATCAAGGAAACACTTCACCACGGAGCTGCACTCCCAATTGAAGAAGAAAGATGACTCCTTAAAGAGGTGAGTGAGTTCACGTGCTGAGTTCATTAGGAACTTTAGGAACAGGTAAAACACATGGTGCCAGGAATTCGCTGACAAACCCCACAGTGGTAAATTATTCTCATGTTAGGTTGGAGAAAAATGTTCCTGTGTTTGTAGCAACCACTCAACAACAACTACAGGTAAATAAATGGTAAAGAAGACTCAAGGAAGCTAATTCAGTATATCTTCTAAGACTCACAGATCACTTTATATTAATTGTTTATCTTCTCTCCACTCACTAGGACAGAAATGGATACAAGAGGCAAGAAAGTGATTCTTTCAAGCTTTCCTGCCCTTTCCAGACTTAAGATGGAAGCAATCTTATTTCAGGAGATTGGTACAAATGAAGTGGTTACTTTCTAAGGTCTTAAGGATTTCACAGGAACATGATAGTGACTTGAATACAATCAGATATACAAACATCCAGGGTACGTATGTTCTTTGAACAGATGGTAACATGGCTTTGGGACTTGAAAGCTTTTATAAATGTTACTAGATGAATGTAATTCATCCTTTTTGGGAGGGACAATCATGATCCCATCTGAGCGGACAGAGCACACTGAGGTGACACCGCACTGAAACGCGAGCTCTCTATCCGATGTGAGCACTCGCACTGACATGCCCCGGGCCGTGCTGTCCAGCAGCATCTACTCCTAGACACACACGGTCCTGGGCACAGAGTCAGTGCCAAGTGACTGAACGCTAAAGCAGGGCTTCAGAGAACCAGGGCACTCAGATCCTTTGATGTGCAATGAGAAAAGTCATGTGGAAATAACAGGGACCAAACAGGAAATCTCTGCCGCCTACGTGTGCACATGAGGAGACAGCATCATAAATATACAACAACATCTTACTGGAAATATAACAGTGTTTATCTTACACAATAAGAAAAATTGAAGGAATAGAAGACACATTTAAAAACAACTGAACTGGCGGGGAAAAAGGACTAGTGTTACTCTGGAGTGCGGGTTTGGGGAGGTGGCTGCGGAGTTAACAAATCAGGTGACAACAAATACCCCAAACTAATCAGTCTAATTAGAATCAGTGGCCAGCATGGGAGGTCACATCAATGGAGCCAGCTGGGGGGTGAAGGGCAAATATAATTGAAATTGTTTTGCTAAATAATAAATAAAATAATTCAACAACAATAACAAAAATGTAACTTTCTGGTGGGCATGGTGATGGATACCTGGTGCACCTAGAAGGCTGAGGCAGGAGGAAGACAGGCTCAGAGTTGAGGCTAGCCTAGGCTACATAGTGAATTCAAGGTCAACCAGGGCCACCTAAGAATACTGTGTCTCACAACAAACAAAAGATTTCTTTGAAGTGGTAAGAGAGGGAAGCACAAAGAAGTACAGCTAGGCTGGGCATGGTGGCTTGGGCCTTTGTTCCCAGCACCCTGGAGGCAGAGGCAGTCGGTCTCTTTGAGTTTGAAGCCAGCTTGGTCTTCATAGAGAGTTCCAGGCTAGCCACAGCTACATAGTAAGACCCTGACTCAAAAAACAAAAACAAAGCTAAGAATAAAAAACTTAAAACAAAAAGAAGTACCGCTGAGGGGGTACTTTGAGGTTTCTTACAACATTTGAACTGCTAATTTAGAATCCAGGTCCATGCTCCATTGTATATGAAGGCTGGACAGACCTTCCGATGAGAAACAGCTCTTCACCTGGTGGGATCCTAAGCAGAACAACACCAAGTCCTGGTATTATTCCACCTTAAGGAAAGTATTACAATGTAAAGGGTACAACAGAATTCCTAAAAAAAAGTCTGTAATTCTTTTTCCATAGAAATATGATAAAAATTTTCTCAGTACACCAGAACGCAACAAAAGTGAAAGATACTTTAATTTTAAAGGTTAGTGTCTATCAAAACCTCGCCACTATTGAACTAACTTTGATTTAGCTGGCATGCTACTCTGCAACATATTTATGTATCTAAGTTGGTTATCTCTCCACTCCTCAATAATGCTAACTACACGTTTATGAAAAAAACTATCAAAAGTTCAAAAAGTTCAATTAAAACAAGCATATTGTACTTGGTCTTTCATATGCAAGGTACGAACACAGTCACATTTAACTGTTGGTTACAATTAAAGATCTTCTCTCTACTCAAGCACTTTGTGCCTGGCCCTGTAACTGTCACACAGAAAAGTGGAACAGCAAAACAGCAACAGCAGCAGAGGCTTGGACCTCAGAACTGTGCTGTGTGGGCTGCTAAGATGAGCGGGAGCCGTGAGGAAGGACGCTGGAGCAATGTCAGCAGTCTGCCGCCTCGCGTGCTTGGCTTACACAAAGGTCAGCCGTGGTTCTGTCTGTGCACACTTTCTATTCACCAGCACAGCTAATAACAATGCAGATCCCAAAGGTGACTATCGTGAGTGAGTTCTATTGCTGTGGCTGCCACTGCCGTCACCACCATCACCTTAAAGAGGGACAGGCTGTAAGAAAGCATGGCCGTGTGACTGCGGTACTTACAACTGAGTATCCTGGTTGAAAGGAATGTAGATTCATTCCCCTCTCACCCCAGGAAATAAATGAAAACCTCCCTTTATAACCTGGCTTTTATACTAGAATTTTTATTACACATCACATTTTATCACTTCTCTCATTTCTTCTATCACTGATGTTGCTAATGAGATTAAGACAGATGTTCTTAGGAAGAGATTAGGATCAAAATTCACAGTCCTCTCTGAAATTGCTGTAAGATAGAAATTACTCTTAAAATTCTTTGCCCAATTTAGCTGCTACTCCCCACTGATCAAAGGATCATATGTCATTTTAGTAGCTTGCTAGAAGTGTGTGACACTGACATTTTAAGAGCAAACAGGGCCTGGATAATTTGCTAATTCCACTAGTAATTTTAACCTCAGCATAATGGGTCTGTGGATGCAATCTTCATGTTGTTAAAATACAACAATCTTCCTATGTTATACTTCTTTTTACGTATAACTGTCCAGGACACATGCTTGGATCTGAGCAACAAAACCAGGTTGAATCTCAGTTAGCTGAGAGGTGTGACTATGAATGATGAAGCCCGTGTGGACTTCTGTGAGAAAAACACAGAGTACCTGTGCTGAAGTGAGGGAAATCTTCCAAGTTTTGCTAACTGCTTCTGGGACTTGTTACAGAACCTTTTCAAATATGGCTGTTTCTTCCACTAACAGTAGCAAACGTATTAGCAAAACGGGGAACTTTTCTAGGGTAGGGAACCAATGAAGAACCTTTGCTCTGGTTTTGACAGATTTCTCAACTGTCAGTTTCTTCTCTCAGATGCCACCATGCATCTTAAACATACTGTGGCATACTGAAAGCACGTGTCCTCACTGTATAACACAGTCTGTGGAGCTGTGCATGTATGTAAGCCTATGTGCACATATTTCCCCCATGCATCTGCCACTGACTCCTCAACCCATTCATATTCACACCACTCCTCACACCTCTTACCATGGGCAGGTCTTTTAGGATCTGTATTCCATCTCCAGGACCCATGTGTGCTATGTGGTTAAAATTAGTTGGGTTAGAAATTAATTTATTTCTCATTTCTGGATCTCGTAGCATCTCCCTGTAAGGTAGAACACCTGTTTAGACAGTTTTCCCACATTTAATCAATTTAACTTAAAAAATTAAGCATACTTTGTTTTATAAAAATAAAGATATAATTAGAGTAACAGAATATATTAACAGTTCAATTCCTTAGACTGCTTTGTATTTTAAGTTTTAAATAAGAAGATCTTAAGATTTAGGGTTTTATTTGTTTGTTTAATTTGTTCAGTGCTGGGGATAAAAGCCAGAGACACACACATGTATCAAGTTCTGTACCACTGAGCTCCACCCCTCGCTGAAAAGGGTTCCTTTAACATGCATCAAAGAACTCCTGTTCTACTTTGCAGATACTATTGAATATTATATGTGCATCCTTCATAATAGAGAACATTTTAGAAATGCTTTTAAATATCGCTACATCTGCTTGCTCATGGGGAACAGAGTTAATCTGAGTTTTATTTTTTTTTCTTTCTCTTAATTTTCTTTTTTTCAGAAAGGGTCTTACCCTTTAGCTTAGGGCACAATGGCCTCAAGCTCAAGGCGACTCTCCTGCCATAGCCTTTTGAATGCTAAGATTACAGGCATGGGCCACCATGCCTGGCTTCTGTACTTCTTAACATATACAAATTTACTATATGCACAGATGATTTATATTACAGAGTTACACATGCCAGAAATGACAACTCTTCCATGTACATACAGAAATGAGTGAAATTTGGTACTTTATCCACTGTATTCTCATAACTTTGACAGTATTCATTAAAATGGCCCTGAGGGATGCTACTCATTAGTGTAGAATCCCCCTAGAGTTGGAGGTCGACTCATGCCTGGTAAATACTCTGCCAACAAGCCACCCCGACCCTACAATTTTGGACCACAGCTGAGTGACAAATTTTCATATACCAAATCTTTCTTCTAAATTGTTTCTAGCTTGCCCTCTGGGTGATGGCAACATGGACAGACGCTGTCAGCATGGACAGATGCTGGCAACACAGATGAATGCTGGGCACGAGTTAATACATACCTCCTCTGCTGCATCCTCTCCTCCTCTGGGACTCTGAAGGAGTAACGCCGCTTGTTGTTGATATTTCTAACCATTTGTTTTCGACTATTATCTGATGTTTCAGGAACTACAAGTTCATCCCCTTCTGTGAGAAAGAAAGTAATAACATTGTTTAAATTGTTAAAATTCTTTATATCCATTAATCTCTATGACACTGCAATCGACTGAATAATATGAACAACTGTGATAATTAAGAGTTATACATTAAAAATTAGAAAGCAAGCAATAATTTTCAGTAAAATATGCAAAAAGATATATGCTGAAATTAGGCATAGCTTACAAAACACAGTATCACTTTTAACTATAAATACAAGATGCTCCAGTTTTGCTAGAAGAAAACTACAGCTGTGTCGGTGTCTCGGCTTCGACGGTCACTTCTCCCCGGCATCTTCACACTGTTTTGGCTCTCCTGCGGGGTGTGCTCTCAGTGGCCCCAGGCCTCTGGAAGGCAGCCTGCCCCCTGCACTGCTGAGCCATCACCTCTCCAGACCCATCACTTCACCCTTGAAAGCACGCCCCGTCCCACTTGCCACAGATTATTTTCTCCCCTATGATAATCTGTGGATTCCTGTTCTCAGTCCTTCTTCTGGGATTCATTCCTATGCTCTTCTATGCCTCTTCCCACACTGTTTTCAGTACTTCAGAGGTGCTGTGCACTAGCTGGAGATGGATTATTCCTGAAGTCCCCAACTGGAACTCTGGACAAGTGTCCATAATTTAGGACCTACTGACTAGGTTCTGTGGTGTTACAGGCACAGAAGACATATCCAGCCATATCTTCTCTACTTACCATGTGCTCCACAGGAAAAGAATGTGTGTCAGAATCAAACACTTTGCTTATCCAGTCATACAGGCTTAAACAGGATTGTTTGTTCACAGCTTGTCTTTACTGTCTTGCCAGAGTTTGACAGTGGGCATCACACACCCCAGAGTGAGATATGCCTGAGCCAATCTGGGCTGGGGCATACCGAATATGCCTTGCTTGGACTGGTGTAATATTTCCACTGAATTGATCCTATTAATATATTTTCTTACCTGCCATCTTATTTTTGAAATATATTAATCTAACAGTCTCCAACCCTAAAAGATTTAATGATCCCTCAGTGTTTAATGGTCGGACCTAAAATAATAAAAATAAAATTAGTATTACAATAAAACCTATAAAAATTAAATCACAAAAGTTTTAGTCTATTTCTTAAGAATACACTATTAAGACCTTACACTTACCTAAGTCAAAATATAATTCTTTAAAACATCTCATGTTAATAATTCTTACTAGGAAGGTATATTATCATTTAATTTAAACAAACCAACTTATCATAATGATAGTTTAAAGAAATTCTATCCTGGACAAATAAAATCAAGTAGAAATATATAAACCTTAAAATTGACCATTTAGAACCATCAGTTTTTAAAGGAACACATTTACTTTATGAATTCTTATCACTAAACCCTGAATGCCCACACATCTGGAGACAGAAGCACAGACAGGGAAAGGACTACTGACAAACAGTGCAGGAGGAACGAGTCAGATAAACCAATACAGCCAGATCCTCACTTCACACCTCCGTTAAAACTCAGTTCCAAGTGGATCACAGACACACGCGTAATGAGAAAAAGTTACTATGCACAAAATACTGCACACAGCAACATGTGGGAGTCAGAAAGAATAAATTGGGAAGAAAATAAAGGCTGTATCTTTATGGTCTTGAAGTAGGAAAGTTTCTTAAGAAGAGAAAAAAGAAATACCTAAACAACAGGAATAACATCTTACTTCAGTACAATTAGTCATTTGTTCAGGGATGATAAGAAGCACAACATCAGGACAGCACTCTCCATGGGGAGAGGTGGGGACAGGGTGCATGTGGATGTGGACAGCACTCTCCATGGGGAGGTGGGACAGGGTGCATGTGGATGTGGACAGCACTCTCCATGGGGAGAGGTGGGGACAGGGTGCATGTGGATGTGGACAGCACTCTCCATGGGGAGGTGGGGACAGGGTGCATGTGGATGTGGACAGCACTCTCCATGGAGAGGTGGGAGAGGG